GGTGGTGGTGGTGGTAGCTGCTACCGTTGCTGTAGTTGCTGCTGTTGGCCACCGTATTGCTGACTGAGGACGCAGGGCCCTTACGAGAACCGCGACATCTTCGCGTCCCTCGACATTGCCCCTGCCTCGATCAGAAATCAGGTTACTTGAGTATTTACAAGGATACCATAGGGTACTATAAGGGTTACCAAACGGTATTATCCTGATCCTGTTAGATAAGTGTACCAGAAGGTTTCAGGGCTTGTCATGTTCTGATGCAACAACCTGCTTTGACATGGAAGTTTCAGAAGAGAGCGGGATGCTAATACAGACCGAAAATTAAGATCTTTGATAGAAGGACATATGCGCACCCAAATTTGACAGCCCGCTAACCGCCGATACAGCAACCTTATACAAGCCTCATGACACGGCACCAAGGTGTGCAAAACCTCTGTAAAACTGCTTCAGTCAGTTACAGCTCCTTTCACCGCTTTGACAGGAAACCCTAAACCCTAAACCCTCGTTTCATTTGTGTGGTTTCGGTTTAGGGTTTCGATTGTGTTGTTCAGGTTTAAGTCGAGATTATGCATTCCGATTTTTTCGATTTATGCAAAAAATAAAAGCCTCACAAACAGACGTCCGGAATTCCAAGCCCTACTCTCACAGCCCTACCCCACTGAGCTTGAGGCCTGGACCTTGCTGCGCATTTTCCCGCAGGCTTGGATTTCGAGAGTAACTGAAGGTACAGTGCTACACAGTGCTCGATGAATTCAGGCTTACGTTCAGCAAAACCGAATGTACAGTATGGGAAAGTGACCGTTCCAATGCACTACGCGAGCAAGAGACGGCACGACAAGCACGGCACGACAGAGGGTGAGAGCATAACGATGGCAAGAGCAGCGACACCTGTGTCAAGTGTTTCAGTATCCTCGATGCATTCACCTGAGGTCATGTCGTGAAACTGAGTACGATGCGGGCATCGAGTATGTTATGGTAGTGCATTGTGTGGCTTGATCAAGTCCGTGTTCTTGGCCTTCGATACATGGTGGGAGGTTATTAGCCAACAGCTCGGGCTCAGCATCAACCGGTTGACTGCTGTGCTGCCAATCCCTTGGGGGTGTGACGAAGCTCCAAAGCCTAGTGCAGCCCGTGCAGGAGCTTCTGAAGAAGATCCCCCA